TAAAATATTTTCCTTTGTCTTTTTAACATTTAGAGTAAGAAAATTAATCTTGCACCATCGTACAAATTTTGAAATTTGGGAGCGATAATCAATTTCAGATTGCTTTATGAATCATAAAGGCATCCTCTACTCCTCTCCCGGCCCTGTAGGCATCTTCTACTCGTCTCCCGGCTCTGTGGGCATCCTCTACTCCTCTCCCGGCCCTGTAGGCATCTTCTACTCCTCTCCCGGGCCTGTAGGCATCCTCTCCTCCTCTCCCGACCCTGTAGGCATCCTCTACACCTCTCCCGGCCCTGTAGTCATCTTCTACTCCTCTCCCGGCTCTGTAGGCATCTTCTACTCCTCTCCCGACCCTGTAGGCATCTCCTACTCCTCTCCCGACCCTGTAGGCATCTCCTACTCCTCCCCCGGCCCTGTAGGCATCCTCTACACCTCTCCCGGCCCTGTAGGCATCCTCTTCTCCTCTCCCGGTCCTGTAGGCATCCTCTTCACCTCTCCCGGTCATGTAGGCATCCTCTACTCCTCTCCCGGCTAAGTAGACATCCTCTACTCCTCTCCCGGCTCTGTAGGCATCCTCTACACCTCTACCGGCTCTGTAGGCATCTTCTACTCCTCTCCCGACCCTGTAGGCATCCTCTACTCCTCTCCCGGCTCTGTAGGCATCCTCTACTCCTCTCCCGGCCCTGTAGGCATCCTCTACTCCTCTCCCGGCTCTGTAGGCATCTTCTTCTCCTCTCCCGGCCCTGTAGGCATCTTCTACTCCTCTCCCGGCCCTGTAGGCATCCTCTAAACCTCTCCGGGCCATGTAGGCATCTTCTACTCCTCTCCCGGCTCTGTAGGCATCCTCGACTCCTCTCCCGGCCCTGTAGGCATCCTCTACTCCTCTCCCGGCATTGTAGGCATCCTATACACCTCTCTCCCGGCTCTGTAGGCATCCTCTACTCCTCTCCCGGTCCTGTAGGCATCCTCTACTCCTCTCCCGGTCCTGTAGGCATCCTCTACTCCTCTCCCGGCCCTGTAAGCATCATCTACACCTCCCCCGGCCCTGTAGGCATCCTCTACACCTCTCCCGGTCCTGTAGGCATCCTCTACTCCTCTCCCGGTCCTGTAGGCATCCTCTTCACCTCTCCCGGTCCTGTAGGCATCCTCTACACCTCTCCCTGCTCTGTAGGCATCTTCTTCTCGTCTCCCGGCTCTGTGGGTATCCTCTACTTCTCTCCCGGCTCTGTAGGCATCTTCTACACCTCTCCCGACCCTGTAGGCATCCTCTACTCCTCTCCCGGCCCTGTAGGCATCCTCTACACCTCTCCGGGCCATGTGGCCATCTTATACTCGTCTCCCGGCTCTAGGCATCTTCTACTCCTCTCCCGGCCATGTAGGCATCTTCTACTCGTATCCTGGCCCTGTAGGCATCTTCTACTCCTCTCCCGGCCCTGTAGGCATCCTCTAATCCTCTCCCGGTCCTGTAGGCATCCTCTACACCTCCCCGGCCCTGTAGGCATCCTCTACACCTCTCCCGGCCCTGTAGGCATCCTCTACTCGTCTCCCGGCTCTGTAGGCATCCTCTATTCCTCTCCCGGATCTGTAGTCATCCTCTTCTCCACTCCCGGCCCTGTAGGCATCTTCTACTCCTCTCCCGGCCCTGTAGGGATTCTCTACACCTCTCCAGGCCCTGTAGGGATTCTCTACACCTCTCCGGGCCATGTAGGCATCTTCTACTCGTCTCCCGGCTCTGTAGGCATCCTCTACACCTCCCCGGCCCTGTAGGCATCCTCTACACCTCTCCGGGCCATGTAGGCATCTTCTACTCGTCTCCCGGCTCTGTAGGCATCCTCTACACCTCTCCGGGTCATAAAGACATCCTCTTCTCCTCTCTCGGCCCTGTAGGCATCCTCTTCTCCTCTCCCGGCCCTGTAGGGATTCTCTACAACTCTCCGGGCCATGTAGGCATCTTCTACTCGTCTCCCGGCTCTATAGGCATCCTCTACACCTCTCCGGGCCATGTAGGCATCTTCTACTCGTCTCCCGGCTCTGTAGGCGTCCTCTACTCCTCTCTGGGTCATATAGACATCCTCTTCTCCTCTCCCGGGCCTGTAGGCATCCTCTACTCCTCTCCCGGCCCTGTAGGCATCCTCTACTTCTCTCCCGGCCCTGTAGGCATCCTCTACTCCTCTCCCGGTCCTGTAGGCATCCTCTTCACCTCTCCCGGTCCTGTAGGCATCCTCTACACCTCTCCCGGCCCTGTAGGCATCCTCTACTCGTCTCCCGGCCCTGTAGGCATCCTCTATTCCTCTCCCGGATCTGTAGTCATCCTCTTCTCCACTCCCGGCCCTGTAGGCATCTTCTACTCCTCTCCTGGCCCTGTAGGGATTATCTACACCTCTCCAGGCCCTGTAGGGATTCTCTACACCTCTCCGGGCCATGTAGGCATCTTCTACTCGTCTCCCGGCTCTAAAGGCATCCTCTACACCTCTCCGGGCCATGTAGGCATCTTCTACTCGTCTCCCGGCTCTGTAGGCGTCCTCTACTCCTCTCTGGGTCATATAGACATCCTCTTCTCCTCTCCCGGGCCTGTAGGCATCCTCTACACCTCTCCCGGCCCTGTAGGCATCCTCTACTTCTCTCCCGGTCCTGTAGGCATCCTCTACACCTCTCCGGGCCATGTAGGCATCTTCTACTCGTCTCCCGGCCCTGTAGGCGTCCTCTACTCCTCTCTGGGTCATATAGACATCCTCTTCTCCTCTCCCGGGCCTGTAGGCATCCTCTACACCTCTCCCGGCCCTGTAGGCATCCTCTTCACCTCTCCCGGTCCTGTAGGCATCCTCTACACCTCTCCCGGCCCTGTAGGCATCCTCTTCACCTCTCCCGGGCCATGTAGGCATCTTCTACTCCTCTCCCGGCCCTGTAGGCATCCTCTACACCTCTCCCGGCCATGTAGGCATCTTCTACTCGTCTCCCGGCCCTGTAGGGATTCTCTACACCTCTCCGGGCCATGTAGGCATCTTCTACCCGTCTCCCGGCTCTATAGACATCCTCTTCTCCTCTCCCGGCTCTGTAGGCATCCTCTACACCTCTCCGGGCCATGTAGGCATCTTCTACTCGTCTCCCGGCTCTCTAGGCATCCTCTACTCCTCTCCCGGCCCTGTAGGCATCCTCTACTCCTCTCCCGGCCCTGTAGGCACACTGAAATGGGTGAAGTAAATGTTCTGTCTGTCTTAATTGTAAAGATTTAACAATACGTTCAGTGGTATAGTTAATGGGGGTTCTATGACAATCCACATAAAATTAAAGTATGATGCGGAATGAAGCTGTTGCTACATTTTGCTGAGCAATTGCAAAATATAGCCCCATCACCATAGAACCCCCATCATCTACACTACTATACATACCGTATAGATTATCAGGACCTGTAGCTTTGCGGAAATGTATTTTAGAAAATGATTGTAGCAAATCACAGATAGTTCTTATTGTGTTTCACAATCCGGTAAAGCATTTCGGAACACGTCTCTTTTTTTACTGAAATCTGAAGGGTCAAAGCGAGTGTACAACATATTCAACTCGTGGGCAAAGTTTCGGTTATCTGCAACACTTATTTCTGCTCGTTTCTTATCTGTTCCAAATATTGTCTTAACGCCCTCCCATGACCGTCCAAGATCACAGTCAGCAAAACTGTCTTTCTATTTTTACTTGTATTGGACTTAACATTTTTTCCGTGGCACGTGATATTTAACCTTCAATTTGTCCCCAACACAAAAGCTCTTTTCTTTTTATTTAGCACTGACTTAAGTTCTTTTGTTATCCACGGCTTATTGTTCGGAAATACTTTACAGTTTTTGAAGGCACAATACAGTCAACAAAGGAGTTATGTAATGAGTGACAACATCCATCAGTTCCTCAAGGTCCGTGCTAGAATTCGCGAACACGACCCAAGCCGTAAAATCAAAGCACCCTTTCAGGTGATCAAGATAATGTAGACGTGTCCACGATTTCACCGATTATAATGTTGGTTTGTAGGGAGGGGCTAAATAGACTGAATTGTAATCGGCTGTTCTAAGTGGAGCTTTCGCGTAAGATTTGAAAGCGCCCTTGTTATATTGACGTCTCTAACAGTTCTGAATGGCGTTCCGAAACCATCAATTTCGAGGCTTGAGTTCTCTATGTCAGGGTTGAACTAAGTTTCAGTGAAACAAAGCAGTCATCTAGGGTGCCCTAGTCATCTAAGGCGCCCCAGTCATCTAAGGCGTCCCAGTTATCTAAATTGTCCCAGTCATCTAGGGTGCCCCAGTCATTTAAGGCGCCCCAGTCATCTAAGGCGCCCCAGTCATCTAGGGTGCCCCAGTCATATTAGGCGCCCCAGTTATCTAGGGTGCCCCAGTCATCTAAGGCGCCCCAGTTATCTAAATTGTCCCAGTCATCTAGGGTGCCCCAGTCATCTAAGGCGCCCCAGTTATTTAAATTGTCCCAGTTATCTAGGGTGCCCCAGTCATCTAAGGGGCCCCAGTTATCTAAATTGTCCCAGTCATCTAGGGTGCCCCAGTCATCTAAGGCGCCCCAGTTATCTAGGGCGCCCAAGCTATCTAGGGCGCCCCAGTCATCTAGGGTGCCCCAGTCATCTAAGGTGCCCCAGTCATCTAAGGCGTCCCAGTCATCTAAGGCGCCGCATTTCGCTGTGTAGCTGTGTTTGGCAAACCATAAACCTATCATCATGGATTCGAATCCGATTCGCACCAATTATGTTTCTAGAATTGTCAGCACCATACCCGTGCTCGTGGGTTTCACCAATGTGTTACACGTCTGAGACCTCGTCACTTCGGACTTTACTCCCACATCAAGCTGACGCGTAGTGATATAACGGAAATACTGTTAAAAGCGGCGTTAAACCACCTCCCTCGCTCACTCTACCCAGCACTCATTATTATTCATTACTACGCCGTCATATTATGTAGTTTATCCTTTCTTTTTGCCGTAGCAGCGATTACATTTAAAATGCTTCTTTGCAGATATCACAGTTTGTGGCTTCGTCAATCTTGTCACTGTCCCTCCTGCCGCCAATCCACCAACCAGCCCATAGTGATCTGGAAGGATGTCGACGTCACTGTGTCAGCCGCCGAGTTGGACGGTATGCACACACATGATCTTGTTGGTCAAAGCCATATAGTTAATTAATACCTAAATCTCTAATCTTTATTTGTTTGTTGTTTAACGCCACCCTCAGCAATATTCGAGCTATTTGACGGCGGTCTGTAAATAATCGAGACCAGATAACCCAGTGATTCATAACATCCACGCATTGGGGACACGATGACATGCATCAACCAAGTCAGTGATCCCTTGAGTCGCCTCTAACGAAGAGCACAGTCACCTGTTACGGCAAGCATGGGTTGCTGAAGACCTATTCTACCTCGGGTTTTCACGGGTCTAAATCTCTAATAATAAATCATTTATTTTAAGATTACTTTCTTTTTACAGTATCGTACATTCTTAATTAATGTGTTGAATATATATAGTGTTCACAAGCTTCATTACGAAAAATACTAAACGTATAAATGGCTATATCCCTCATCTCCGGGAGATGAGTGAGTGAGTGAGTTGGGTTTAACGCCGCTTTTAACAGTATTCCAGTTATATCGCGGCGTGTCAGCTTAATGTGGGAGGAAAGCCCCAAGTGATGCAGGTCTCAGACGTTTACCACTTTGGTGAAACCCACGAGCAAGGGTATGGTGATGACAAACCTAGAAACATAATCGGGGCGAACCGGGATTCGAACCCACAATCATAGGTTTCTGGCGTGCCCAAGGGACGCAACTCTGCACAGCGAATCGAGGCGCCTTAGACGACTGGGCCACCCGTGCCCCCTCCGGGAGATGAAGTGGAAAGGTCAAACATGTTGCCTAAATGTATTATCAGTTTTTGTTGTAACCCTACCTGGTGCTCTGTTTTGGACGAGGACTGGTCGGCTGAGTATACAGTGTCTGAGTGGGGTATTCATGTTAAACTGCGGCATAGTATCTCATTGAGCTAGCACTATAAATCGGCATCAGTCCTGACTAGTACAAGCAGCCACAAACACACACGTACTTGCACGTCGCTGTATGAGTGCAGTAATCTTGAACGCGACATTAAACCCCATTTCACCTAACCTATTATCAGTGATATTTCATGGATTGCCTGGGATGAAATAACTACAATTATGGCGAACAGTAGGACATCTTACAGTAGACATCCATGGATAGTTTACATTTGCTTTGTATCAACAGTTCCTTTTGTACCCGTTTATCTACTTCTGTACAATTAACAGCTGTTAACAGCTGTACATCATGCCAATACTGTTTTGTAACGGTAAAGGTACGTTGACAGCCATGGTTAACTTCACAGGGGACAAGGTCATCAAGGTCATCTGGAGCGATGACAAGAACCATACAGGGTTATTTCCCTTACCTTTCCTGAAGCACTACAGCTACTCTGACAAATCACTGGCAGAAATAAATAATCAGCGCAAGATGATCTTCGACTCTGAGGTAGGCATCAGTTTTGCCATGTCATTGATTACCGGCCCGACGTTCATCAAATGGAAGAGCATAGTTATGTTAGTCAAAGAAAACATTCTGCTGTTACTGCTATTTTCCATCGTTTTTAACATTCATTTTAGTTTTCTTGCGTGATGTACATATATGTCACATGGCGTGGATTAAGTCGTTGCTGTAGTGTTACTATAAAACAATATTTCAAAGGTCGCAGACTGTTTCTAGTGTAAACTGTACCGTGACCTTGACCTTTAATATGGATGTTACTTGTCGGGGTGACGTGGCCATCCGTTCTGTGAACACCTGGTGACATCTGCGTCAACTTTATAGTTTTTCGTGAACAGGATTTTGAATGTATCGCTGGCATGTCGTTTGTTCCTTTTCCCATTGCTAATTGCTTGATTACTCTAACAAACTATTTATTCTTCGCCGCAAGGGTCAGATTCCTGAGGTAACTTATAGTGACGTTATGGGCAGTGACACCGGTCTGTTCAAGTAAGTGTATTTTTATATTTAACTGGGAAATGTTGTGATCGGTTCTACAGAAGAGATCGGTTGATTGCAATACATCTACAGATATTTGATGAATAAGTGTTGCACTTGTGCCCAATCCCTTTGTCTTTTTGGACAATAAAATATGTTTAATAAAAATTTGATGATGAGTCATTTGTTTTACCAGATGGCTAAACAAGCTCGATAAGTATGGAATATGTCTGGTGAAAGACGTACCGACGCAGGCCATGACTGTTAAAAAGGTGAGCAGTTGTATTCTAATATGAAAAACCAAAACTTGTAATACAATCTCAAATCAATACGTAATCATACACGCCGTTCGTGATTATCCAGTGTATTTTTATTCTATTCGGATAACTACTCGAACATATTCATTACAATAGGCCCATTACTGGTGTCACCCGCCGTGATATTGCTGGAATATTGCTAAAAGCGGCGTAAAACCATACTTACTCATTACAATAGCTTCATGCAAAACCCGAACCCAATGAAATGGCAGGGAAAACAGCCGTCCAATCAAATTGCACCCATGAGCGATAGGCTTTCAGTGCTAAGTTAGTCAGTGGTACGAGAGTATGGTGACGTCACTTCCGAAACGAAGCTCGAAGGCTTCTGAGTCCCAGGCAATGTTTCATTATATAGTTGAGATGTAGTACCCAGGATAACAGAGGGTGCATACATGTATGGCTTTAAGCATCACTGTTGCATATAATGCTGTATACTTTGATTTAAGTACTAATAGGTTTGTGCCACCAGACACGTTTTACAGATAAACCATTGATTTTGTTGTTGCATTGTGTGACACCAGGTGTTGGAGAGAATTGCGCGTATCCAATCAACTGTATACGGGGAGGCAGGTGATGTATTCAATTGTTTGTGAATTGTGTCTAGTTATAACGCTAATAACAAGAACTAGAATATTATTATCCCCTTACAAAGCGCTAGATACGCCTGCTCAAATGCATGGCTTTAACCCTTTGAATGGATTGGTTTGCATTCTGATTGCATTCCAAGCTCCCAATGCTGTATATAATGTGAGTGAGTGAGTGAGAGAATGAAAGAGTGAGTGAGAGAGAGAAAGAGTGAGTGAGAGAGAGAGAATGAGAGAGCGAGGGAATGTGTATGGTTTTACGCCGCCTTTAGCAATATTCCAGCAACATCACGAACCCGAGACTTTGGCGTGACGGCCGAGCGCTGTAACCACTAAACTACCCTACCGCCCCTATATAATATGAGACTTGATGTATTGAACAACGTCCACTAGACTGAGGGGTTTCAGGGTCAGAATAGAGCCCCGGTATATGATACTGGCTGTAAGAGTTTGGTGGTTGGCTGATAGCGGGTCATCGTTCCTCCATAACGCGGATTGTTACTGACGTTTCAGTTATTGGTTTGTCTGATCCAGACTTATCATCCAGATTAATTGGTTTGTCTGATCCAGACTTATCATCCAGATTATTTACAGTCTTACATGACGTACATGTAGCTGAAATATAGCTGGCAGATATGTAACAGCATTAATTAGTTACTCAAAAAGGGTTCATAATCACAAAACGTTTTTATCCTCATAAATCATGTTTGTTATCATTTGTCCTTCTATACGATGTTTTGAATATTTTAACTTCACATGTGTCTTATTCCAAAGATATTTGAAGTGATGGACACACCACAGCCTATCAATTTCGCCTTCTCACCCGTGAGACTGGAGTTACACATGGACCAGCCTATGTACGACTCTCCCCCGGGGCTTCAGTTCCTGCACTGTCTAAGGTAACAACAACTTACCCGTTTTAGCGTTATCCCCATTCATTTAACATTGAGAAGACAGTACTGACTGACTCGTACACTGAAGGCAAGATTGTGTTTTAAATTACATGTACCTTGTTATCACTTTCCTTCAGATTTGGACCGCCTCCGTGGTCTAGTTGTAGAGCGTCCGCCCGGAGAACGGAAGGTCCGGGGTTCGATCCCCAGCCGCGTCATACCAAAAGACGTTAAAAGATGGTTCTTGTTGTTACCCTGTCTGGCGCTCGGCATTAAGGGGCTAAAAGAAGGACTGGTCGGCTCGGAGTCAGTATACTGTGTCTGAGTGGAGTAGTCATGTTAAACTGCGGCATGGTATCTCAGTGGGCTAGCACTATAAATCGGCATCAGTCCGGACTAGTACAAGCAGCCACACACACACGTACATGCACGTCGCTATACAAGTGCAATAATCTTGGACGCAACGTTAAAACCAATTTCACCTCACCTCACCTCACCTAACCTCACCTCACCTCACCTTCTTCAGATTTGACAAAGAAGTGGAGGGAGGGCGTAACTTCTTGGTGGACATGTTCCACGTGGCCCACAGGTTCAGAGAGGAGTACCCAAAAGAGTTCCAGGACCTTGTTCGGATACCAGCCAACTGGGAAAGAGTTCACTACGATAGGTAAATGTATATCCATGTAAAAGGGAGGGTCAGGGAATATGTGGGGGCACGGGTGGACCAGTCGTCTGAGTTGTTGGATTCGCTGTGCAGAGTTGCGTCCCTTGGGCACGCCAGAAACCTATGATGGTGGGTTCGAATCCCGGTTCGCCCCGATTATTTTTCTAGGTTTGTCAGCACCATACCCGTGCCCGTGGGTTTTTTACCGAATTTGTAAACGTCTGTGACCTGCATCACTTCGGGCTTTCCTCCCACATTAAGCTGACACGCCGCGATATAACTGGAATACTGTTAAAAGCGGCGCTAAACCCAACTCACTCACTCACTCGTGGAATATATGTCACTCCGACAGGTCTTCAAGGCACACCAACCTTTTACAATGTCCACTGAACGCGTTTTGTCAAACACTTTTGTTCATGTCTTCTTGTAGGCACTACTGGAACAGATCACATCCAAGCCAGGATATCAAATTGTTATTCCTCAGTTGTAAATAACATGAATGCGGACTCCTTTTTTTATATGAGGCTATATGATTGTACGTGCAGGGAACCCTCTGTCAATACAACTGACCTTGTCAATACAGTGTCAGACAGTAATTAGGGTATTGACATAGTTTAGTCTTATGTGTGTTTCACATATATACTGTAACACACACCAATACCCCCACCCCACCCCAAACACACTCACACACGCGATGATTTTTTTCATGAAAGAACGAACAGCTGACTTTGTGATCATAACAGGTTTGTTGTTTCAGAGCCCTTCCTGTTCATATGTCTTTCCAAACACCGCACATAACCCTCAACAACGACGGAGAGGTAATATGGAGATACATTCATGTGTTTGCGACAAATGTATGTGTAGTGGTTGTGTTGTTGACAGGTTAGTTCTATACCAACAGTGGCTGGTATAGTGGTTGTGTTGTTGACAGGTTAGTTATATACCAACAGTGGCTGGTATAGTGGTTGTGTTGTTGACAGGTTAGTTATATACCAACATTGGCTGGTATAGTGGTTGTGTTGTTGACAGGTTAGTTATATACCAACTGCGGCTTGTATAGTGGTTGTGTTGTTGACAGGTTAGTTATATACCGACTGTGGCTTGTATAGTGGTTGTGTTGTTGACAGGTTAGTTATATACCGACTGTGGCTTGTATAGTGGTTGTGTTGTTGACAGGTTAGTTCTATGCCAACAGTGGCTTGTATATTGATTGTGGTGTTGACAGGTTAGTTATATACCAACAGTGGCTGGTATAGTGGTTGTGGTGTTGACAGGTTAGTTATATACCAACAGTGGCTTGTATAGTGGTTGTGTTGTTGACAGGTTAGTTATATACCAACTGTGGCTTGTATAGTGGTTGTGTTGTTGACAGGTTAGTTCTATACCAACTGCGGCTTGTATATTGACTTTCTATTTCAGATTGTTGGCGTTAGATGGAGTCCATCTCTTGTTGGACCTCTGCACACAAAAGAGGTATTGAGTATAACCAAGAACACCAACCACTGGTGAGAGATAAAAGTGTTTTTCATCGTAATTGAAAAGAACTAAAAGTAACTCAACTTAATCAGGCATTTTTTACTCGCCGAGAGCTAATCCCATCAGTACGCCAAATGTATAACATATTTATGCAAGGACATCACAAGTCAATGCATTGTAGCTGACATTCAACAACGGTGCTCCCAGATGGGAATGGTACGTTGGCTCATTCAGCACCCACCTGGTGTCTTCGACGTTGCTTTTACAGTGACTCTTGAAGGTTCTTGAATTTGTGGCTTTTAGTTAGTTCCTTCGTTTGTTCATTTGTATTATTGTGAGAAAATACGAATATGAAAACTCCTAAGAAATGTACTTTCAATAATATTAGTTTCCTGAAAGAATGAAAAAAATCTGTGGGCTGTTTTGTTACTTCGTCTGTTTCTATTGTTTTAGGAGGACGTGGAACCTTACTATAGAGCTTACAAAGTCATGGAACATTTTCTTAACACTTTCCCATTACAGGTAAACACAATTTACAATCACATATCGAGTGTTCCATTACTAGTTCGATTGTTAAAAGGAATTTAAGCAGAACAGTCAAGTTTGTACTGATAAGACGTTTCTAGCAAATGCGAATATTATAGATATTTTAGAATGCAAACATGCGCAGAACGTATTTAACTGATGTAAATATAAGAAAATGTAGAATATACTTAACACAATTTAGATGCTGCTGACACAGGTAAACGGTTGAAGTTGGCATGCACATAAAGTACCAAAATGTTTAAGATAATGTAGACAATGTTCCTTAATCGTCGGAGATGAATTTCACTTCTACTTGTATGTTGTAAATATGATAATTTAAGGAATAAATATATTTAACAAAAATACCATGTACATCGAAATAAATACAAGCTAATCTCTTCAATATCACATATACGGCTATACGAAATCTATCTCTATTTGTATATCATGCCATGTTGATAAGAAATGAATCCTTGTTACATATTTAACTGCTTCCACATTGTCGTGTATTCTGTACTATGGGCCTGTGGTCTTACAGTTATATATGAGTGTGAGTGAGTTGGGTTTAACGCCGCTTTTAACAGTATTCCAGTTATATCGCGGCGTGTCAGCTTAATGTGGGAGGAAAGCCCGAAGTGACGCAGGTCTTAGACGTTTACCATTTCGGTGAAACCCACGAGCACGGGTATGGTGCTGACAAACCTAGAAACATAATCGGGGTGAACCGGGATTCGAACCCACAATCATAGGTTTCTGGCGTGCCCAAGGGACGCAACTCTGCACAGCGAATCGCGGCGCCTTAGACGACTGGGCCACCCGTGCCCCCACAGTTATATATGAATAAACTGAATTGAATTGAATACTGATTAAAAAAGACCTTTGAAGATCCGGGGTTGATTAGGTCTTCAGCAACCCATGCTTGCCCTAAAAGGCGACTATGCTTGTCGTAAGAGGCGTCTAATAGGATCGGATGGTCAGGCTCGCTGACTTGGTTAATGCATGTCATCGTATTCCAATTACGTGGATCGATGCTCATGATGTCAGTTACTGGATTATCTGGTTCAGACTCGATATTTATAAACAGTCGTATGTAGCTGGAACATTGCTGAGTACGGCGTAAAACAACAAACAAACCAATATTCTTTGAAGTTGTATTTTCGGAACATATTTATTGCATGTAGCTCTTTCCCCATTGTATTTTATTGTTTATCCGTTTCTCAGTACCGACTCCGTATGCAGGCAGGGGATATGATCTCATTCAACAACAGGCGTGTTCTCCATGGGCGGGAGAGTTTTAACCCCAATGAAGGCATCCGGCATTTCCAGGTAACTGTTGGCGCCTTAACAATATACTAAGGGTTGGAATTTATTTATTTAGTAATTCAGTTTATTCATTTTAAGAATACTTTCATTTGTCTTTTCCTATTTGTATGGATTGTTCTTTGTTTTATTGTTCATAATGACGTGTAAGTGAGTGAGTATGGTTTTACGCCGCTTTTAGCAATATTCCAGCAAAATCACGCGGGGGGCACCAGTAATGGGCTGCACACATTGTACCCATGTCGGGAATCGAACTCGGGTCTTCTGCGTGACGAGCGAACGCTTTAACCACTAGGCTATCCGACCGCCCCAATAATGACGTGTAAGCAAGTAAATATCCCGATGGTTTTGAGGTTGTAAGTACATGTATGCTCCGTTGATAAACCGTTTGTTTCATGCGTTCTGTTTGAAAGGTGTTTTAATATTTTGAAAGATGGAGTTACGTGTGACCTTATTGGAACATCAGTTGACACATTGTAGGGTAAATGCGATGGTGCTCAAATCGGCTTTTAGCTCCAAAGTCACAAAACGGATGGTATGTACCTGTGAATGCATGGTGAATCACAGCTTTGAACTATTTCTTCATTAATTCATTACGCGTGAGTACCCATGAAGATCCGGTGGAGAATAGGTCTTCAGCAACCCGGAGACACGGGTGGCCCAGTCGTCTGAGGCGCCGCGAATCGCTGTGCAGAGTTCCGTCCCTTGGGCACGCCAGAACCCTATGGGTTTCACCGAAGTGGTAAACCTTTGAAACTTCGGGCTTTCCACCTACATTAAGCTGACACGTCGTGATATAACTGGAATAATGTTAAAAGCGGCGTTAAAACCCAACTCACTCATTCACTTCAGCATCCCATCCCATGCTTGACGTAAAAAGAGGCAACCAAATTATTTTACCAAATGAAATTTCCTTGTTACAGGGATGTTATGTGCAGATTGACGAGTTCAAGAGCCAGGTACAGGTGTTCTCTAACAAGTTTGGAGATGGCAAACTGGCAACGAGAGTGGGCAACATGGACATGCAATAGCTGATGGCAAGCTAAAAAACCATGTAGAAGGTGCTTGAACGTGATGACCCACTCAAGCTTGAGTTACATTGAGTTTCATCAGTCGCGCACATCTGACATATATATTAATTCAATTCTCAGTACATTTACTGTACTTGTACCGAAACAATGAACATCATCGATTGCATCCATGCATTCATTGCATCTAACTGTTACTGTACCGGAACCAACATCAGTGTATTGTTCAACCTATTCTTCCATCGATACATCAACATAATTATGAAAACCTGATCGAATAAAGCTAAAAACCTTTTTGACTGCAATATCCTGTTGTTGCCAACCTTGAACAGTCGTATACATGTAGCAGTTTTAATTGCACGTTCTGCTACAGCACTACAACTACTCTCACAAATCACTGGCAGAAATAAGTCAGGAGGCAGCGTCGGTGCATTGAAGACACAAGATTCTTGAAAACAGGGGGATATTGTTCCAAATTATAACTACTGATTGCTCCAATTGAGCTAGCGTAATCGGCTAGTTCTGGTCCTGTCGTAGACGCCGTTCTATTTCATCCCAGACTTGTTCAAAGAGGTGGAGGTCTGGGGAAACAGCCGGCCATGGCAGTACAGTTATGTTATGCTGTCTAAACAAATCTGTTACAGCACGTTCAACGTGATGTTACGTTTTGCATTTGCACAAAGGGTAGGGACCGCCTCCGTGGTCTAGTGGCAGAGCATCCGCCCGGAGAGCGGAAGGTCCGGGGTTCGACCCCTGGCCGCGTCATACCAAAAGACGTTAAAAGATGGTACTTCTTGTTACCCTGCCTGGCGCTCGGCATTAAGGGGCTAAAACGAGGACTGGTCGGCTCGGAGTCAGTATACTGTGTCTGAGTGGGGAATTCATGTGGCATGTTATCTCAGTGTATCGAGCACTATAAATCGGCATCAGTCCGGACTAGTACAAGCAGCCACACACACACACACGCACACACGTGCATGCACGTCGCTATTTAAGTTAAATCCCATTTCACCTCACAAAGGGTAGGACAGGATCTCGAACGATGTCGTCCAAGTACCGTAGGCCATTTAAATTGCCATAAACAATGATAGGTTGTGTTCTACTATAAGTTGTGATTCCATCCCATACCATTATACTTCCAAGCTAGGCTGTGTGGCGGTGACGTGAAAGCAAAATTAGGCGTGTCTTCAGACGTCGGGATCAGATGTTGTGCTTCCGGTTGCGTACGGTTCTGCCACCAATTGGTCTCAACCCAGGAATTGCCCGAGCTGTTAATGTTTGGTGTCGATTCTGAAGATGCATCAGCCGAATATAGTTTTCTTGTTGAGGTGACGCGACACGTGGACAGAATCCGTTTTGAGCCATTTATTTGCAGCATACCAACGGCGTGTTAGTATTCTGGGGTTTGTGAATCCTAATCTATGTACAAATATAATACGCAATGTTATATCGATTTCGAAAACGAAGTAGTGTGTTTAATTTACCAATTCTCATCCACTGATTAACCCACCTGAACTAGAAAAAAGAGTCCAGAGACTGTTTCGCCTGTTTCGTATTTGGATGCATGGGAAAGATTCACAGTTATCAACATGACTGTATGACAAGAGGAATGACTTAAACTTTTCAATAGTGTTACGTGTCGATTCCCAAATTGAAACAATATGTTAACCCAGAAATCTGTACGTAAAAGAACTTAGTGTGAAACCAACAAACAACAAGTGGCATACAATCAACAAATGTATAAAAGAATTAACTAAGTTTACCAATCAGTACAAATAACTGCCCTGCTATTATAATGGCAGTGCACAATAGAGTGGTAGTACACTATTCAATGGTAATATATAAGATGGCAGTGGTCAGTATTAAATACAAAAATAATGTGGTGATAGCACAAGTCAGTGATAATAATGTATATTCACCCAGCGGCGACTGAGGTCAAGCTTCCCAGATGGGCTAGGCAGGGAATCGGGGATGATGAGCGATCCTCACATGAAAGCTGGACTTGACGTGATGAAAATGCGTGTGAGTGAGAGTTACGTGAACATGCTCTTGTTTCCTTATCAGCTACTGGAATGTTCCCTGTAGTGCCCTCACCAGTCCATCGGCACGAGAGCATTACGGATGTTTCTAACACATTCTTTCACCGTCCGTTCGCATACACAAGCAGCGTGACACCTTCGTCACACTCTCGGTAACGTCGCTGCATCCAGTGTGGGCGTGGCCATTACAGGAATCTTGAAAACTAACCCAAATGCACAGTCTTGTTAACCCCAAATGTAGTAACGTTTATACTTTGGTTCATTTCTTTGGGAATGCCATCGTAGTTGATTTTGAAAAGGTTTACAACTGACCATACTTCCCAGATGAATTTACCTTTTTGTTTGTTTGATCGGATTGGTTCGAGATTGCAGACGAACGGAAAATCAACCAACTTCCCCTTACATTCTTACTATATCAATTACATGGTAGTTGAAATGAAGCAGAAATTCAAATTGACAAACAAGGAAAAGAATTTAGCAGGGGAAAGAGTATTCGACTTGACGACAGTCATCACTGGTTTGTAAACATAACGGTCAGTCGGCTGCAAGTTCAACTCCAAGCAGGGTTGTAGCCACCTATCTGCGAATGGGCTATTGCTGTGAGGAGCTTGGACAATCCGGCCCTAGGGGAGAGAACTCCTATGGTTTAAATTATTTTCTCTCTGGCAAGCAAAACACTGAAAAAAGCCATCCAACCTGTTTTTTTGAATGGCCGAGAAAGGTATAAATACTTATCATTCACAACCACTAGGTATATAGTTTGAAACAATTTTAGTCCAAATTCAGAAACATTTTCTTGACATTTTATTAAATATAATAACATTTTCTCAAAACAATAAAGCTGAAATAACAAAATAATATTACCGGCCTTGTTAATAAATCTAATAGACCTAATAGTATTTGATCACACCTGGGGGTATCTATTGGCATTTTGAAAATTTTTCACATTGTTAATAATTTATATCGAGATATATAATATATATACTGGATTGTCTAGTCCAGACTCAATTATTTACAGACAGCCATTATATAGTTTGACAATTGCCGAGTGTGGTGTTTAACAACAAACAAACACACTGTTACTCAAGCTACTTATAACACAGTCTAGTCCCTTTTAACCCATTGACGGATTTATACATAATGCAATTTGAAAAATATATTGGAATCAAAATCCTCGGACTATCAGTCTACCTAAGCCGAATCTAATCTATTTTAAAAGGAGAGCTGGACTTTGGTAAATTGGCAGTTGTAGCAAGTTTGATTCAAGTCACTCCAAATCTGAACCGACCACTGGAGAGAATAGGTCTTCAGCAACCTATGCTTGCTGTAAAGAGGCAACTAGAGGCGACTGTAGGGATCGGGTGGTCAGGCTTGCTGACTTGGTTGATGCATGCCACCATATCACATTTGCGTAGATTGATGTTCATGTTGTCAATCACTGGATTGTCTGGTCCAGACTCGATTATTTACAGGCCAGAATTATGCTGAATGTGGAGTTAAACAACACACAAACTCTCCAAATCCTATTAACTCAAAAGGTATGTTTACCAGTCTTATCAGTTAACTAATAACCTAAGTAGAGGAACTGGTTCTGGGCTGTCTTGCACCAAACAAGCTGGGCTCATTCCAAAGACCATAACTCCCATACTTTAACATGAGCTCCAAGTTTGTGCAGGTGGGCTGGGGGCAGTGGAGAACGCTTACCACCAAGAACCTCATTCAGAATGCAACGCCAATGTAAAAACAAGCAAAGGCCGTGTTGTCCATCATTTATTTACACTGTACAGTACAAGCAGTGGCACAGGTCTGTCTATGGACATTTGGAGAGAGTCGGAGACGAGGAGAGAGAGGGGAGGGAGAACAGCACCATGGCTGCCACTCACTTAGCATACTAAGTGACCATTTACTTCAGTTCACAATGCAACCTTAAACACCACATGGCCAAGGCAAAGAGTACTTCGCAAAACGTGCCATCAAACAATTGTTCTCTACAGTTAAACAATATGTTCAAAAATATGTCTAAAATCATCATTTGTGACCCACCAGGAGAAAAGGGACCTTACGGGTGCTAGGTTGCAATTATTCTATTATGTCATAAAGACATTTTGACGTCAACTTACTCCAGTGAAAATCCAGTGTGCGTGGACTGTACAAAAAAAACCTAATTTGTCTCTCGTTTGTAATGTAACAAAAACATTAGTTCAAAACCTTTCAGCATATATTTTCAATTCATCCCACATTATGCCTAGAAATTACAATTGTTACTTAATGAGTTATAAGTGGGAAAATGAGTCCAAATGTTGATATCATTTGTAAAAATATCAATTGGAGCTTGTGAATTGTATTTTTGTGTTCTGGAGATATTGTAGGTTTTAAATAATATGAAAAGTCCAAAAATGGTTTTTCACACATAAGGCCCCTTATCTCATGGCTGGTCACGCTTGTTGAAATCACTAATATGGTGACTTCAACTGTTTCAGGCTGCACTGGCGGGGCTACCTCAGCCTGCTGTCTTCCTACCAACTTGTTGATACTGTAAGAGCACGTGAAGCCAACGATTACCCCGACATCGTGGTAATAACGGGTCAACCCAGGATTATCATGGTTGCTTCTGTGCAAGTCAGACTGGACTTTTTCTAGAAACATTAAGCACACTCCTTCCTCAATGAAAAGAATGAAACGGAAAACATCTTGTGTTCATGATTAAGTAACAAAACATAAACAGTATTACCATTGCAATACAGACCCCAAAAAAGACGGTTATTTACTATTTGGGTGGATGCAGAATCTTATATCCCTGAGCGCCCTTGTGAGTGAGTGGGTTGGGTTTAATGCCATTTAGAACATTATTCCAGTTATATCACGGCGTGTCAGCTTGCTGTGGAGGAAAGCCTGAAGTGACGCAGGTCTCTGATGCTGACCCCTTTGGTGAAACCCATGAGCACGAGTATGGTGCTGACAAACCTAGAAACATAATCAGGGTGAACTGGGATTTGAACCTACAATTTTAGGTTTCTGGTGTGACCAAGGGATGCACCTGAACAGCAAATTGCAGTCCCTTAGACAACTGGGCCACCCATGCTTCCCCTGAGTGCACTAACACAACCCTCCTACAACACTTTTTTGTCACGACCCTCCCCACAGCTTTCTCCATTTCTGACAATACATACTTTTTAAGTTCCCAATAGTTTAACTGTAAAATGACAGTCGATTCTGTTAACACATCCTTCACTCCCCATGCCTGGATTATCTAGATTAACCTCTCC